GAGGCTGGGAATTCTAAGATCAAGGTGCTGGCAGATAAGGTGTTCGGTGAGTATGCACTTCCTGGTTCATAGACAGCCATTGTTTTGCTGTGCCCTCACATAGAAGTGGCAAGGAGTTTCTGGAAACTCTTTTATAAGGGCATTAATCCCTTCAGCCCTCATGACCTAATTACTTCCCAAAGGCCTCACCTCCTAATGCCATCACACTAGGGGTTAGGTTTCAACATTTGAATTTTAGGGAGTCACAAACATTCAGTCCATAGCACTATGTTAACTTAGGCTCGCTTTGTCTGTACCACAGTTTGCTCAGATACAAGGTGGGGATAATACCAGGACCTTCCTTACAGGGTTGTTTTGGGAGAGGTGAGAAATGAAAGAGTTAATATATATTATTAACATATGCTTAAAAGAGTGCTTGGCACACAGTAAGAGCTGTATCAGGGTTACCAAAAAAATGTTTACAATTGGAAAAACTGAGCAAAACTTCTAGTTAAATATCCACCAGGAAGAGACAGGGGGCAAATTATCACAACTCGCCTCTTAGGTTGAACTATATGGAATTGCCAATATCTACTCCTTTGGTCTAAAAAATGAGCAATTTCATATGTTCCAATCTAAACACTAGAATGCTCTGTAGCCATTAAAAGTCATTCCATATCATAGATCTATTTTTATCATAATGTTTATCACTACTGTTGTGGAAAGATTTAATAATATATTATTGAGTAAAAATAGCAAGTTACATAAAGCATGTAGAGTGTGGCCATGTTTGGGTGTCAAGGTATGGGCATAAAGAGATACCTGGAAGATACTCTGTTTCAACAGCAGTAACCTCTGGGAGGGAGAATGTTAGAAGCTCTTCATATTCTTTGTGCAGTTCTATGAAATTTACACTTTTACAACAATTAAAGAGGTTTTCTTGAAAAATGTGGCCCATAAAACCCAAACACAGGGCTGCCTAATGTGGCCATAGGCCACTGGCTTACCACCACCCAAGAGTGAAATATTCTACTTCTTTCACTGAAGCTTAAGATAACACTAGTTGTTTGTTTTGTCGTTTTGTTTTCTTCTGGATGATATAACATAATGTTGGTTCATATGGGCTCAGGATTATCTAAAAATTTCGGGCCTCTAACAAAAACTTCTGCCACCTTGGGTGGGCTCTTGTTTGTACTGGCATAACTGAGTTTTTTAGTTCAAGGTCAGGATTTTACATGTATCTATTATATTTCCTCTAGTTGATAAACTTTAACTAATAGATTAAGATTCACTCTGTTCTCCATTGAATGTGTAGTTGAAGTTGAATGTGTAGAAAGTATTGTATTCTGGAATACAAGTTCTTTGAATGAGAGAGAGCATTTGGGAAGCATTATAAGGAAGGGTGTTCCAGAAGCGTTGGCTGATGGAAAAGAAATGCAATAGCCAAAGGAAATTAGAAGTGAAGATGATGTCTTAGTTAAGCCGTGGGTAACAAGGAACTGAAACTCCTTCACTCTAGCTCAGGAATAGGTGGGGTAGGGTGAAGCCTGGGTGGGGCGGCGGGGGCGGGGGGAGCTCTTATAAAGCTACAATAGGCCAACTATATTGGGGTAGGCTGAATAATGGCCCACAAAAGATTTCCACTCCCAATCCCCAGGACCTATGAATCTGTATGGGCAAAAGGAACTTTGCAGATGTGATTGAGTTCAAGGTCTTGAGATGGGGAGATTATTCTTGATTATCTGAGTGTCCCCAATGTAATCACAAGAGTCCTCAAAAGAGGGAAGCAAGAGGGTCAAAGTTAGAAAAAGAAGATATGACAACGGGAGCTGAGGTTGGAGTGACGTGGCTGGGAGCCCAAGAATGCCAAGACAGCTTCTAGAAGCTGGAAAAGGTGAGGAACAGATTCTCTCGTGGAGCCTCCAGCCCTCCGGGAGTCACCTTGATTTCAGCCCCATAAGACCAATTTTAGGTATCTGACCCCCAGAACTAAGAGAATAAATTTGCATGAAGACACTAAGTTTGTGGTAATTTGTTACAGGAGCAATGGAAAACTAATACAATCGGTACTTAACTTGCCTTGGGGGTGCAGGCTCCCCTCCACTTTCTTCTCAGTGCATCTCTTGCTGTCCTTGGCCCCTTGCGGACCTCACCCCACTGCTGAGTGGGGCAGGGATGGAAATAATTGGATTCTTCTCTTGGGGTTATAAATACAGAAAGCAGAGGCTGTGGGCTCAACTTCTCCATGAGGTACAGAGGACAGTGTCCAGGGCCCACAGTTCCTTTAGGCGCCAAGAAAATGTTGGCCTTGAGGTAAGTGTCAGTTACCCAGATTTGAGGGTGGTTCACTTTCAGATCCCATCCTTTCACTTTAGAGTTACCTTTACTCAGTGAGTCCAGGCGCTGTGAGGGAGGGTCAAGCTTTGCTGAGCTGTGCTTCCTGGCCTGAGGCCCTTTGAGGGCTCTCTCACCATGCTGGCATGGGCCCGGGGCCCCCTGAGGTGCCAATAAGAGAAAGCCCTTCATATTCAGAGTGTGCAGGTCCTCTTCATGGTGGGCACCTTCATCTACACCTGTTGAGTCGGTGCTGTGTGCAAGCCTCAGAGCTCCACAGCTGAGCTCATTCTCTGTCCTTCGCTCCTCTCCATCCCTCTGCAGCCCCCCTCTGAGGCCAGACCTGCCTGTGAGTGCCCACTTCCCCTCACATTAGTCCTCTTCCGACCTCCCCAGGCTCAGCAGCTTTCCATCCCACCATCTCTTTCTCCCCATCCTACAAGGCGTCAGTAAGCCCCCAGCTCCTTCCTGCCCATGCGCCAGAGGGACCAGTGGATTTTTGGTCTTCAGCATGCACAGAATTGTAGCTTCTTCGAGCTGAAAGTTCACAGGGATCAGAGAGCCAGGCAGCCGTCCCCTTGTTCAGGGACTACACCAATGGCCAGAGGTGACATGGCTTGTCTGAGTCTTAGGGACAGTCGTTAGGGCAGGATACCATCAACTCTTTTCCTCTTTTTTTCCTTTGATGCAGCTCTTGTATAATAGGTTCATTATCATACAAAGACAAGTTTTCTGACTTATGAGATGGTTGGATTCCGTTACAGCTGATCTATAATATGTTGTGTGCCTGAAATGAATATGACAGATTCAAATCGAGCTTCCCAAATGGTGGGCCAAACTAACCCAGTGTTATTCTGGGAGAATGTCGCCATGTCTGACATGGAAACACTGCACAGACCATGTTCACATTGTTATGCTAGGCTGAAATACGCTGTCGAACAAGTATTATATTTATCTATGGAACTGTATGTCATAGCTCCTTCTCGTATATGCTGATTGGACCTAAAATCTGGATCTCTAGCTCCAAAGTCCTTCTTGATGAGATTTCTTTTTTCTTTTATTTTCCTTAGGATTTTATTTTTGGGTAATCTCTACACCCAACATGGGGCTCGAACTCACAACCCCAAGATCCAGAACTGCACACACTCCACCAACTGAGCCGGCCAGGCACCCCTGGTGAACTTTCCCTTTTAATGAATGGTATATAAATACTAAAATATATTGACAAAAATATAGTAAACACCCATGTACCACTATCCAATTTAAGAAATAAAGTATTATTAATCCAGTTTTAGCTCCCTGCAGACCCCGCCTGGATCCCACTCTCTTTCCTCTCCTCTTATAAACACCATGCTGAATTTGGTATTTGTCATTCTGTGTTTGTTTTTATATTTCTACAACATACGTCTATAGCTAAAAAACATTTTTTCCTTTTTTTATTGGGGTGAGATTCATATCACATGAAATAACCATTGTAAAGTGATCAAATCAGTGGCATTTAATAATACATTGTTGTACATCCACCACCTCTATCTAGTTCCAAAACATTTTCACCACTCCAAAGGGAAACCACACGCGTTCATAGTCACTCTAGCTCCCCAGCCCCGGGCACCCATCAGTCAACTCTCTGTCGCTATGGATTTACCTATTCTGGATTATTTCACATAAATAGAATCATACAACATGTGACCTTTTGTATTTGTCTTCTTTTCCTTTGCATAATGTTTTCGAGGTTCCTACACAGTATAGCATGTCTCAGTACTTTATTCCTTTTTATAGCTGAATAATATTTCATCACACAGGTAGACCACATTTTGTTATCTATTTGTCCACTGCTGAATATGTGGGCTGTGTCCGTCTTTAGGCTATTATGAATAGTGCTGCTATGAGCACGCGTGGACAGGCATTTGTTTGAATGTAGAATGCTGTTTTGGATTTCTTTAAACTTTACATCATACTATGGCATATAGGGCTAAGAGGTCTGGCTCTGGGCTAGACGGTAGACCAAATGAGGATCTCAGTTCTGCCACTGACGATCTGTGTTATCTTGGGTAATTTCCTTTACCTCTCAGCCCATTTTCTCATCTATAAAAGCGATGATAACAGTAACCATCTCCTATTGCTGTGAAGATTAAACAGATGATGCATGAAGAGCACTTGGCATGTACTAAGTGCTCGATAAAGGGCAGCTGCTATGACCAATATTAATTATAAACCAGGTGGATGTTTCTGGAAAATAGGTGGCTGACCTGCTGGACACATCCTTAAGCGTTGATGTGTTGCTCAGCCCCAGGACAAAACAGGTGGACCAATCTGGAGCTGGACTCTGGTATTTGAGAAGTTGCCCTGTAAATCAGGGTCTATATTAGGCAATTTTGGAGACTGACATTGGGGGCAATCATTTCCATCACGTGGTGAGAGCTCATAGCGTACCAGATATGATGCTGAGGAGTTTGCACACATACCTCATTTCATCCTCACAACCACCTCTGAGGTAGGTACGATGATTCTTCCCACTTTACAGATAAGGAAAATGAGTCACAGAGAAGGCAGGTAGGTAGGCTGCCCAAAGTCACCCAGAAAAGCCAGCATGTGAATGGAGGGAGCCTTCGGAACCTGCATCCAACACCACTACACTGTGCCTCTGTTGAGAAAACCACTTATGCTTTTCTGTGTCTGCCATTTAGCTTTGCTTTGATCAGTGACAAGCGGTACCAAAAGAAAGAGCCTCTTATCAGTTCCGTGCACACCAAGGTGAAAGGAATAGCAGAGGTGAAAGTGGAGATATTGGAGAATGGAATGAAGAAGATGGTGTCTGGGGTCTTTGACACTGCAGATTACACCTTCCCCTTGCAGGTGAGCTCTTGTCAGCAACTCCCAAGGACTCCTCCCTGGTCACTGCCACCAGGGCCCTGCCTCCCTCCCCTGGGACCCTTAGCCTCATGTCACAAAAACACTGGCCCTATTTTAAAAAGCTCTGTGAAAATCCCAACTGAGAAAACCTAAAAATTGCAAAATTGGGTCAAATCCAGCAGCTCAAAGATGATTCTTTGCTTTATCGAGTCCTACGGGGTTTCTCAAAATAGCAGTGTGATCTGGTGCATTTAAAGCACGGTTTGATTCACTCACAACTTGATATATACACAGCTTTTTAGAAGCAGGGCCATCAAGTCAGCAAGGTCTGCCTAGATCCAGAAGGACAAAGAACTTCCTGCCTGGACAGGACTGGCCCTTCTAAATTGTTTGTGTGGAGTTTTATCAACAAAAATGTCTCTAGAAAAAAACACTCACTCAGATACATTTTTACACAAGGGAAAGGAAAGAGATGACAAAGACAGGAAGGGTGTGGATCACAGGGAGAGGCTATGTGACTGCTTACATTTGCGAGAAGAGAAAATAAAAGTAGAATAGTCAAAAAGGAGACTCAAAGTAGGAATGAGAACACCAAAGAACAGATAGGGAGGCTGGAGGGACAAAGGGACACTTTTGCAGCCTCTGGGAGCTGGGGTACTTTGCAAAACCATAAAACCCAGGCCACTATCTGTTTGTTTCTGGGGCGGGGGGGAGAGCTGGTTCAGTAAGATCTCCAGCTATTTCCTGGGTTGTGGGCTGCCTTTTGCCCTTTAATTAAAATCCTGGATAATCTGAACAGCGTTCTGATGAAGCCAACACCCCACTGCCCCACCCCCACTCCCCAGGTCTCTTAAGTTTCAATTTAATGGGATTTTATGGTGTCCAAAAAATGACAAGACTGCTTTTGAGGCTGGAATGGAAAATGAATACTCAATCAGTTTGAATGTCCCTTTGCTCTCCTTTAGCTCAGCAGGGTGGCACATCCAGCTTTGATATTAAGCCCTCAGCACAGTCCAAGTTTCTCCCAGACCTGATTTCTAGAGCGTAGTTTAGAAAGGTGGAAGGTTCGCCCCCAGGCACTGAGCAGGCTGGATTATTATGATTAAGTAGCTCTGCTCTCCAAGGCCTGGCATTTGCCTCCTCTCCTCTTTCTCTGCAGGGGAACTCCTTCTTCGTGATGACAAACTTTCTCAAGACAGAAGGCCAACAGCAGGGGTTATGTCCTGACGTAAGGAGGGGACCTGGAGTGGTCGGGCGGGTGAGAAGAGTTGCTGGAGGGGGTACAGGTCAAAGGAAGATGATGGGCAGAGCCATTTTCACACTACGGTCAGGCTCTGGTTCCCCTAAGACCGGCCATTAAACCTGCTCCCTAGAACACAGAAAGTCAAATGGGCCTAAACTAGTCATTGCATTTCTCTTTTCCTTCTTCTGTCCTCAGTCCGGAGGCCTAGCTGACCTCATTTTCTGAAGCCAGGAAAAAGTGCTGGCTGGCACCCCTTCCTTCCCATTTCCTGCTGAGCCTTCGTGCTTGTGGCTTTGCCCAGTTCTGCTCTCCAGCCCGGGGGCCCTTCCCTGAAAGTGGTACCTGGCTGCCTTGGCGTCTGCTTTTTAGAGTTTTATTTTTATTTTTTATTGACATATAACTCATATGCCATAAAGTCCTCCATTTTAAAGTGGAGAAATGAGTGGGTTTTCGTATTTTCACAGTGTTGTACCACTACCCTACTACCTAATTCTAGGACATTTTCATCGCCCCAAAAAGAAGTCCTGTACCCATGAGCAGTCACTCCCCATTCCCCCCTTCCCTCAGCCTCTGGCAAGCACTGATCTACTTTCTGTCTCTGTGGATTTGCCTATTCTGGGTATTTCGTATCACTGAGATCATACGATATGTGGCATTTTGGGGCTGGCTGCTTTCACTCGGAATCAAGTTTTGAAAGGTCATCAGTGTTGTAGCAGGTGTCGGTGCTTCCTTCCTTTTTATGGCCAAATCATATCCATTGTATGAATGCACTACGCTTTGTTTGTCCTGATGAATATTCGGGTTGTTTCTACTTTTTGGCTACTGTGAATGGTGCTGCTATGAACATTTGTGTACAAGTTTTGATGTGGACAGAGGCATTTGCATTTCTGTATCTTAAGAGACACACATTGCTTACTCCCCACTATCCTGTCCTTCTCCCTGCAGTTTCCCACCCGAAGGACGATCTGTTCCTCTGACAGGGGTTGTAAAAAGGGACGGATGGACCCGCAGAGCAAAGGTATGTTCTGTTTCTTTTCGGGGATCCTGGGGGGTGGGTGGTCTGGTATCTTGGTGACATTCACAATGCCCTAAAGTTCAAATCTTTAGCCTCTGGCTCTCAGCTGCCTTCTTCCACCCTCACCAGGCCGTGGGAGAGCCTGTCTGTCCCATGCCTCTGCTCTGTCCCCAGAGGATTAGCTACTGACTAGCAATGTGATCTAATTCCCCAGTGAGGACAGCTCCTGAAAACCCCCAGAATAAGCATCTTCAGGGCGCTCATTGACAGGAAAATCAATGCCCCACAGTGTCATCTGTGTATGCTGAGCTTTCCCCCTCGAATTTCCCCAAAGGTTGAGGAGTATGAACTGTAGCCCCAGGGCTCCTGGGGATGGTACCACTATTAACCTACAGAATTTCTGTATCTCTTGTTTTAACTTAAAGACACATGTGACAATTAAAAAAAAAAAATGACCACAAAAAAGATAAAACCATCGGTGGTTATAACACACACACATACACAAAAAAGGCCTACGGATGTTACATTCTGTACCATAAGACGTGTGTGTTTGAGTTGGTATAGAGACCATTCAAACATGACTTACTATTTAACTTGCCCCCTCGGGAATCTGTTAGTGACACTAACGCTCCAGGAAGATGTGTCATGTTCATTCTGTGGCTTTGCACATTCCTGGTCCATGCTCTACACCCCTAAGGGACTTCAGTGCCCTCCCACTTAGAAGCCATGTTCTAGTCCAGGTGTGCCAGGCGAGAGAACACACCCTGCTCAGCTCCTCTCTCAGCATTTTTCTTGCAAAGAAACCAAAATAAACCAACAGCATCCATGGTCTCTCTGTCTTCTCTCTCAATCTTTTTTTTAAAAAAGCTTACCATCCGATGTGTTCCTTGCTTGGGTTGCCTTATGTAAGTTTGTGGTTCGAATGGGGTTTTGTGGAAGCTGAAAGTGCTTGGGTTGAAAAGCATAAATAAATAGTCTCTTGCTTGGGTTGAGTTCATGACGCAACCACCGTTTTCACACCTGTGCTTCTCTGGCCCCTTGACCCCACCCGCACCCTCCCACCAGGGATCCAAACCGGAAGGTGTGTAGTGTATAAAGAGAGGCTGAAGACCTGTGAAGTCTCCGCCTGGTGTCCCATCGAGGAGGTGGAAGAGGCCCCCCGGTGAGCTGCGGGGGGGGGGGGGGCACGGAGATGGGATGGCCCTGACCAGTGAGCAGATGAAAAGTCCTGAAAAGTCCTCCCTCTCTCCCCCTCCGTCCCCGGCACACCAGTGGTCTCTGAGAAGGCCATGCTAATTGTTAAAATATTGCAATAATTCTATACGGGCTGGTATATAACTACTACCCTGAACACCCTTGGGTGCCCCTGGGCCCCTGGCTGTCCCAGCACCTTACAGAGCGTCTCTGGAGCCCTCCTCTAGCACTACAGCAGGTCCCATTCTGACTGGTTGGTGTCCATACTGAGCGATTAAGGATGGGAAGGTGGCAGGAAGGGAGTGAGGAAAGGAAAAAGGAAGAAAGGGGAAGGGAAAGGAAGGGGAGAGGAAGGAGGGGAAAAGAGGGAGCGAGGGAGGGAGAGAAGAGAAGTTTTCTTAAATTAGTGGTCACAGTGACATACAGATTTGTTGATCCCCTATATTGATTCTTCTCTTTAATACACAATGTCAGGCCCAGAAAGCAGAACTTGATGTTAAATCTCAGAAATCACAGGGATTGGTACATTTCAGCAGAAGAATAGAGAGACCTGGATTCAAATTCTGACTCTAACACTTCCTCACTGTGTGACCTTGAGCAAGCGGCTTAACCTCTCTGAGCTTCATTTTCCTTATTTGTAAAATGAGGATAATAGTTGGCCCCACCTCGCGGGCTGTTGTGAGAATTAAATGAGATGATACGTGTACCTCACAAGCAAAGTGAGCCCCATGCCTAGTTTATAGTAAGTGCTGAATAATGCACACATGCGCACATGCGTGCACACACACACGTGCGCATAGACACACACCCAAAAATGATCTCCCCCTAGAAGTGTGATGGTTCTAGACCAGCACTGTCCAATGGAACTTTCTGCAATGATGAAAATGTTCTGTACCTGCACTGTCCAATATGGTAGCCACTAGGTACATTGGCCATTGGGCACTTTAAAATGTGGCTACTACAACTGAGCAACTGAATTTTTAATTTAAATTCAACTTTAATAGCCACACATGCCTAGGGGATACTATACGGGAGAACACAGCTCTAGATGAATGTGACTCAAAACCACACCATCAGCATCTTTGGGGCAAAGAGAAGATTGCCCCAAGCTGACTTTTTAGAAGGTCCAGGCAAAGGTTTCCCATGACAGGGTGGGAAGCACTCGGCAGGGTCAGCCCTCAATCATTAATGGTACCACCCAGGTTTATTCCTAGGTCAGAGAAGTTTCTTTTTCATGGAAAGAATTGCCCAGGCTTGAGTGAGCTATCGGCTAACACTCAAGTAGTCCCTGGTTGAAGGAAAGAGTCCTCTTGATTACCTGTAGTTTTCAGTTGCTAACTTATTCATCAGATAAATACTGGGCATCTCCAATGTGTAGGTCCTTGGACTGCAATTCTACATGACCTTGGGCAAGCAACCCCCTGAACTTCAGTTTCCTCATATTTTATCCAAAGGGATTACTAAAATGATTCATTTAATCATTCAGTCAACACATCCGATACCACATAGGAAGTATTAGATATTAATTTTACATGTAACTATGCACAAGAGGCTGTGCTAAAAATACAAGCAGACCCAGATAGCGAGCAGGTCCCAAGCCTCTTGCAGGCTAATCAGAGGTAAGACATGTGCACAGAGAACTATAATTCAAGGCAGAAAGTTAAGCGTGTCATAAGAGAGGAATAAAGGACTTTGATCCTTCAAGTTTCAAGTCCTCTTATTCTTAGAATGTTGCCCAGGAAGCATTTAGGATGTTCTAAAGGTAAACAGTCTGGCATGTCATAGGCATTTGTTATAAATAAGATATTTTATGCAAATGTCAGAAATACAACTTAAACTGGCTTCAGGAAAAAAGACAATGTTATTATTTTTTTTAATTCCTGTAAATGAGGAGTCCAGAAGTACTAGTTTCAGGAAAGGTTTGATCCAGCCTTCAAATAAAAATGATGTCATTAAGATTCTTTTTCTTTCTGTCTTTTTCAACCCACCCCCCACCCCCAGCCCAGTTATTCTTTCTTCCATTTTGGTTTTCCTCACACTGTGGTCCAGGGAACTCCGGGTTTACACTGTCTTTACTACTAGCAATCCTAAAGAAAAATTAGTTTTTCTTTTTCCAGTATTTCCTACAAAAACCCTAGAATGTTTTCATTGGCCTAAGTCATATAACAATCTATGAACCAATCACTATAGCCAAGAGGATTGGGTTATTCTGTTTAGCCAGCTCTGGGTCACTTGCCCATCCTGGGAGCTGTAAGGATGGGCAGGAGATGGACTCCTCCCCACCCAACCCTCTGGGCTGAGAGTGGAAGAGACCTGGCTATCCCAAAGGGAGAAAACTGAGGTGGTTCTAACAGAGGGGGAATGGATGCTGGGCAGGCAAAAACTATAGTGTTCTCTACAGTTATATCCTAAATAGAGGCAAAGCTGGGCTCTGGCAATTTTGGAATAAAAAGTAGATCATCTTGGTGCCCCCTTCCAAATACCTCCATCCTTTTCTGGTGTACTCCCATTATATATATCTGCCACCTACTCAGGCCTGCCAACAATAAGGTACCAGCTGTATCTCTTTATCCACAGCCAATTCTCTCCATCTTTAGCAGACTGTCAACTACATAAGGACAAAAACCTTGACTGCCTTGTTCATCACTATATTCCCAATGCCTAGCCCCATGCCCGGCAGAATAAATATTTGTCAAATGAATGAATCTATGGGTTGTCGGTGGACCTTCCTAAAGTCTAGGATTTGGGCTCCTCTAACTCATGGAGAATTTATGCTCCTCAGAGCTTATCAACCTATAACTAATAGAGCTGACTATATGTGTGGCCCTGTGCTAAAGGCCGGGATGCCAAGATAAGAAAAATCCAAGTCTATTGGGAAAGACACAAACAGAGGTGTGCTGGAGCTGGCTTATACTGACTCTGAGCCAATTATGCTCATCCCTTCCCAACTCCAAGTTCAGTGATACCCACTAATGGCTTGAGATCAGCCATGGTGGGAGTACATATACCACAGTAATCAGTAAATGCTACATATCAGAGCTTTTCTTCCCCACTGGGGGAAAGAAATGTTAAACATTTACCAGCACATCACCACACACACCTAAACATACAATTAATTACATCAGAGTGTGAGAAGGGTTATAGTAAATGCCATGGGGTCTCAGGAAGAGAGAAATTCTTACTCTTTTTTAGATTTTTAGGAAGGTTTTGCCACTAGACTACATTTCTCTTCCCTCATTGCAATGACCCGAGCTAGAAACCAGAAGCCTGTGGTCCCACTGCCCCACTGATCCCCTTTTCGAATCTCTCTCTCAGGCCCGCACTCTTGAACAGTGCCGAAAACTTCACTGTGCTCATCAAGAATAACATTGACTTCCCTGGCCACAACTACACCACGTAAGTGCCCGGAATGTCTAGCCGTTAGCTATCTACTGCTGTGTAATGCATTAGCCAAAATTTAGAAGCTTAACAGCCCATGTTTATTATCTCATACAGTTTCTGTGGGTAAGGAATGTGGGAATGACTTCGCTGGATGGTTCTGATTCAGGGTCTCTCAGGTTGCAGTCAGGCTGTCAGTGGGGACTGCAGTCATCTCTGGCTTGACTGGGGCTAGAATCCTCTTCCAAGCTCACTCACCTAGTTGTCAGCAGGAGGTTCAGTTCCTCACCATATGGACCACCCCTTGGACTGCCTGAGTGTCCTTTAGGAATGGTGTCTGGCTTCCCCCAGGGCAAGTGATCCGAGAGGGACAGACAGCAAGCCAACAATACAATAAACAAGATGGAAGTCACAGGCTTTTATGACTTAAGCTTGGAAGTGACACACCATCACTTCTGCCACATGCTAGTGGTCACAGACCAACCCAGCACAGGATGGGAGGGGACTACACAAGGGTGTGAATCCCAGGGGCTGAGGATCCCCGGGGCCCTTCATGGAACCCAGCTACCAACTGGCTCATTGCCATGAAAGAGACGGGTCTCAGTTTTCAAAAATACGTTTGTTTGTTTGTTTCTTGTTGCGTGCAGGAGAAACATCTTGCCAGGTGTAAACATCACCTGTACCTTTCACAAGACTCAGAATCCACAGTGTCCTATTTTCCGACTAGGAGATATCTTCCAAGAAACAGGAGATAATTTTTCAGATGTGGCAATTCAGGTTGGTGGTGTCTTTGGATGGCGAGGGTGTGATTCGGGGGGTGGAAGATGTCAAATAGCCAAGAGGCCAGGCCCCTGGATCTTAGTTGTAGGGCTCCCTTTATTGAGCATTCAGTAAATCCCTGGTTGGTGCCAAGGCCTTTCCCTGCATTTTTACCCCATCTAATCCAACAACAACCCTGTGAGTCACATCCCTGGAGCAGTAGTTCCTGAGACTGCTGTAACAACCCACCACGATCTCAGTGGCTTAAAACAACATGCCAGAGGTCTGGAGTCCTTGAGTCAGAAGTCCAAAATCAGTTTCACTGGACCAAAATCAAGATATCACTGGGGCCATGAACCCTCCAGAGGCCCCACAGGAGAATCCATTTCCTGGCCTTTTCCACCTTCTAGAGCTAGAAGCTTGTAGCCCCTTCTCCCAGATTCGAAGCCAGCTGCACAGCATCTTGCGTCAGTGGTCACACTGACTTATTCTGTGCCAAGTCTCCCTCTGCCTCCCTCTTATAAAGATACTGGTCTTTTTCAGAGAGAGCATTTATAAAAGGAAACATGTAGGGCCCATTTGGATAATCCAAGATAATCTCCCCATTAAGTTCATCACATCTGCAGTCTCTTTTGCCATATAAGATAATATATCTGAAGATTCCGAGGGTTGGGACCCGGGATTCGGAATACCTTTGGGAGTCATTATTCAGACCACCACACTTGGATTTGTCAGGATTCTTCCATTTGCACCTTATAGACAGACAACTCAAATAATGTAAGCAAAGAATAAATTAAAAAGCATTTTGGGGGCAAAAGGAAACCAAACTCAATTGGCTTAAGCGAAAAAAAGAACCATGTATTATTAACTCATGTAAAGACACCAGGGGAAATGGACTTTCTAGTACACCCAAGGCACTTTCATACCTCGGGAGTTTTCTTTTCCTTTCTTTTTAAAAAGATTTTATTTATTTGTTTTAAAGAGGGAGCACCCCACCTTGGGCGTTTTCTTCTGCTTGTCCCCTCTGCCTGGAACAGTCTTGCCCTAGACGTAGCATTAGCTGTCTCCCTCACCTTCTTCCAATATTTGCTCAAATATAAGCTCAGTGAAGCTTTCCCTTACTACTACCTTTAAAATGACAATTTCAGGGCACATGGGTGGCTCAGTTGGTTAAGCGTCAGACTCTTGATTTCGGCTCAGGTCATGATCTCAGGGTTGTGAAATCAAGCCCCGCCTCAGGCTCTACACTGGGCATGGAGCCTGCTTAAGTTTCTCTCTCCCTCCCCACTCTCTGAAAAAAATTTTTAAATGACAATTTCAATCTCTACCCCTATCCCAGCATGCTCTATGGCCCTTGCCAGGTTTATTTTTATCCCTGGCACCTAGCACTATCTGACATAGTATATATTTTATATATCCATTTGTTTGTTGTCTGTCTTCCCTGACTAGAAGTTTCACGAGGGCAGGCGTCTTTGGAATCTTTTGTTAATTTTTGTATAATGCTCAGCATAATGGGCACTCAATAAATATTTATTGACTGAATGAAGCATATGATAGCAGTAGGCATGGCTGCATCCAGGAACTCAAATGATGTCTTTAGGAATCTGACTCCTTTCATCTCTTTGCTGTTTCCTTAATGATGATGTCATTCATAGGCAGATTGTCCACATGTCAAGGTAAAGCCGCCAAAGTCCTAGGACTGTGCTGTCTGACATGGTGGCCACTAGTCACATGAAGCTATTTAAACTTAAATTAATTGAAATGAAATGAAATATTTATTTCCTTTGTCATACTAGCCACATCTCAAGCACTTAATAGCCACATGTGGCCAGTGACTACTTGATTGCACAGCATGAATATACAATATTTCCATCACTGCAGAAGATTCTGTTGGACAATGCCGCTGTGGACTGTCACAATCTCTGGCTAGTAGTCCCAACCAATAGAGGACCTCTTTTTTTATGGTTCTGACAGAATGTCTCAGAGAAGACTCTGATTGGTCTATCTTGGGCCACATACCTATTCCTGAACCAGTCATCAGGTCCTTACTGGCCAGGCCTAGACCATCTTGCCATTCTGGGAGCTGGGAGAGAGGACAGTCCCATTCAAACCATTCAGCTGGGATACACGTTTGCCAAAGAAAATTCCAGGCATTTTTACCAGGAGAACTGGATGCTAAATGACAGAAACATCAGATATTCACAAAAATATGCAGAGTGCTTGGCTTCATGCCAATAAATGACAATTGTGATTAGTCTGTAATTCCCCTTTCTCCAAGTCAGAGTCTGCTTGCTAGTCATCTTTTTATCCCTAGCATCTAGCACACTGTCTTGAAATACCATCTTTTGTTGATTCAAAGACATACTTTTTTCACATTTTAATCTTTCTGAAATCAAAAAGTGCTTTCGATGAGGGAATTTCACAGTTTAATTGACAGCATTTCCTTCTGAGAAAAAGAAAATTACTTGTCTGATAAGCAATGGTGTCTAAGAATCAGTGAAATAAGATAGTCGGTGCTCAAAACATGTTTGTAGGAAGAAAGAAGTACCAAGTAGAGGTAAGAGATTAAGAAGATTCCTTAGAAGTTCAGAGAAGAGAAAGATCACCTTGAATTGAGGAGGAGGGGTGACTGAATGGATAAGGAAGGTTGTAAGTTGAGTCTTGGAGGATGATGAGGATTTAGCTAGAGAGATGGTAGGAGAAATATTTCAATGGGAGAAAAGACAAGGGCTGAGACCTAAAAGTTCAAGTGTACCCAGCAATTCCACTCCTAAGTATATACTCAAGAGAAATGAACCACATGTCCACACAAAAACTCACACATTGTAAGTGTTCACAGCAGCATTATTCATAACAGCCAAAAGGTGGAGACAATCCAAATGTCTATCAAAGGATAAATAGATAAACCAAATGTAGTCTATCCACACAATGGAATATTCTTCCACCATAAAACGGAATGAAGTACTGATATGGGCTACAATATGGGTGAACTTTAAAAATATTATGGTAAGGGGTGCCTGGGTGGCTCATTCAGTTAAGCGTCCGACTCTTGATTTTGGCTCAGGTCATGATCTCAGAGTCCTGGGATTGAGCCCCTCATCAGGCTCTGTGCTTAGCACAGAGTCTTCTTGTCCCTCTCCCTCTGCTCCTCCTCTGGCTCTCTCTCTCTCAAATAAAGAAAATCTTTAAAAATATATATATTATGGGGGCGCCTGGGTGGCTCAGTCGTTAAGTGTCTGCCTTCGGCTCAGGTCATGATCCCAGGGTCCTAGGATGGAGCCCCTCATCGGGCTCCGTGCTTGGCAGGAAGCCTGCTTCTCCCTCTCCCACTCCCCCTGCCTGTGTTCCTTCCCTCACTTTGTTTAAAAATATATATATTATGCTAAGTGGGAGCACCTGGGTGGCTCAGTCAGTTGGGTGTCCTACTATTGATCTCGGCTCAGGTCTTGATCTCAGGGTTGTGAGTTCAGACCCACATTGGGCTCCACACTGGGCATGGAGCCTACTTAAAAAAATAAATAACTAAAAATAAAAATATTATGCTAAGTAAAAGAAATCCATCACAGAAGATCACATATTATATTATTTCATTCATATGAAAGAAAGTTCAGAATAAGGAACTCTATAGACACAGAAAGTAAATTGGTGGTTGCTTAGGGCTGAGAGGAGGGGTGGAAAGGGGCACTGACTAAAAGTTTAGGGGTTTTTTTTGAGGCAATTTAACTGCTATAAAATTTATTATGGTGACAGTCACACATACATGTGAATATACTAAAACCTGTTGAATTACACACTTTTATACACTTGTACCAATTGTATGTGAACTATATCTTAATAAAGGTGTTTAAAAAAAAAAAGAAATAAAAATGCCAATTCTGTTTAGGGGAAAGTGTAGACAGTGTGAAATAAGAGCTTTCTCCAGAGGAGTGTTGGGAGGTAAAGCAGAAAAGATATGTGATGGGGTTCCCTGAATTCCAGTGTAACAAGCTTCAACTTAATCTTTAATGGGGGGGCCATTCAAGGTGTTAGATTATGGACGAGATTTACTGAAAGTTTTATCTTAGGAAAATAAATCTAAGGGTGCATCCAGATGGGAGGAGGAGCAGGGAGATGCGTTTGCAGCCACTTGTGTGTGTTAGATGGGGCTGCGCTCGTGGCTCTGAAACGTCAATCTGTGTTTCCCTCTAAAAAGAAAACCTCCCTGTGCAGGGAGAGGTCTGGAAGCTGTGTCCCATGTGCAGCAGGACTTAGAGACTGTGTCTTCCCCAGGGAGGAATCATGGGCATTGAGATCTACTGGGACTGCAACTTGGACAGCTGGTTCCATCACTGTCGTCCAAAATACAGTTTCCGTCGCCTTGACGACAAGACCACCAATGAGTCCTCGTACCCTGGCTACAACTTCAGGTAACAGTGCCCAGAAACCTCCAGACCCCGCTAAATTGCATCCCCAGCAGTCAGTGAGAATTAATTTTGGTTCCCAAGGCAACAAGATGAATGCAAAAAGCTTCCTCTAAGAACTAGGGGTGACTGGATTTTTGTATGAATTTTTTCCTTTTTAATTATTAAAGTGATACACACTCTTTGTAAAACAGAAACAAAATTGGGGAAACAGAGAAGAGCATAGAGAGGAGGATATAAATCACCCATAATTCCTCAACCCTGAGATAATCAAAGATAACTGGTGAATTTTCCTTCCTTTAACCAATTCTTTCATGAGGCTTCTATGAGAGCAGATCACACTTATAACCTGGTATTCTGTGTTTATGTGTTTGTTTTGCCATTCCCTGGGTCACTCGGAATTCCTTGTGACCATCACGTTAATGATTCCACCGTGCAAGCATAATGATAACAAGAGGCACCACTGAGGGTGGGTCTTTTATAAACCAGGCCCTCGAAGTCATCACCTCTCCACCTCACATCAACCCTGGAAGGTGGATATTCGTGTTCTCAGGTAGAGCTGAGAAAGGTGAAATGATTTACCCAGGACCCACAGCTAACAGTAGCTCCATAACCCTAACTAACCTAGGTCACTCTGACCCCCAAATCCACACACTTTTCCTTCCATCGAGTGGTTTTCTCCATTCCTCCCGTTCCTCCATTACTGGACATTTGGGGTGTCTCTAGTTTTTCTATTACAAATAATTCTACACTGCACATTTTGTACATAAATCTTTGAATTCCAGATTGTTTCCTTGGGATAAATTTCTAGAAGTAGAATTATTGGATCAAAGGTGATTAACATTTTATCATGTTATCATTAACATTTATCATTTAAGTTTTTTCCTATGCCTATATTTTTCATTTCTCAGGTTTATGTTCAGTTCTTTCTCAAAGCCATCTATTACTGTTTCAGTGAGGTCCATTCTGACCTTACGGATCCTATTCCTTCTGTCTGTTCCACTATATAACCCCTTTCACCCTGACCCATTATTTGTAGTAACTCGGGTGGGATTTCTTCTTCTGAGGCTTTGAAGTATTTGTTGGTGAGTTTCAGCAGGAAAGGTCTTGTGCAAAGTTCTGTGTGTGCCGTGGGATGCGGAGGCATTCCTCTGGGGTGATTATGTAATTTTCTAGTCTGCAGGACTGTATGGGCGTCTATTAATTATCAATCAATTTTTGGTTTAATTTCTGGGGACTGAATGTCTTCACTCTGCTGAAAGTATCCTATCCCTGCTCCCTCCCTGGGTAGGGCTCCTGTAGCCTCAGCTCCCTTACACTTCTAGGGTAAGACTCGAGCTCCTCAGATAACAGATCTGGTTGGGGTACTCCTAGGGGACAGACTCCAGACTCCAGACATGACTCCCACTCCCCACTCATCTCTAGCACCTAGAAAATGTCTTTCCTTGTTTTGAGCTCAGTAATACATTGGTAGGACTTTAAAAAATATATTTTATCGGGGCGCCTGGGTGGCTCAGCCGTTGAGCGTCTGCCTTCGGCTCAGGTCGTGATCCCAGGGTCCTGGGATCGAGCCCCGCATTGAGCTCCCTGCTCAGCGGGAGGCCTGCTTCTCCCTCTCCCGCTCCCCCTGCTTGTGTTCCTGCTCTTGCTAACTCTCTCTCTGTCAAATAAATAAATAAAATATTTTAAAATATATATATATATTTTATCTTGCACTTCTTTGTATGCGGTGGGAGGTGGTGGGCATCCTGTGCTGGCCCTCAGGCTGCCACCTTGATTGGAAGTCTTTTTGGTAAGAACATCTTTAAGACTCCTGATGCCACACTGCTGCTCCACCTGCAGTCTCGTCTGACTTGTAAGGTTCTTTGTAGTGCACCTTGTATGCTTCTTACTTCTGGACTTCAACCCTGTAAGAGCTGACTAGACTCCTGGTTCATTTTCACCATTGAAACTGGCTGGTGCTGATTTGGGGCTGACCTACTCTACTCTTGTTTTGAGCCTCTGCACAGTTCACGCCTCTGCTTCTGACTTTTCCCCGGTAGTGATCCTGTGCCATCCTAACTTCATTTCCATGTTACCTCCTATGTCTGGATCATTTCTTCAGCCTGTTGCTACAACTCTGCCCCAGCACTAACTTGGCCCTTAAGTTTGAGGTTCCATGACCTCTCATTGCTTGTAGGTACCAGATAGGTTTCGGTGATTGTTACTGTGGCTGATCCTTTTGTGCCATTTGGTCCAGACACAAAGTAGGCTTATGCTGTTCCCTTTTCAAAAAAAGTTGCCAACTACATCCCTAGAATAATGGCTATATAATCATTTTGCCTATGAAGCCATTAGGAAATTGATATTGGCGCTCCTTATTTATTCGTCCATCAAATATATAGCAATGAAAAAAAATATTGTTGTGCCAATGGGTATATATTGGTAAACAAAATGGACAAAGTTACTACTTAGCTTATATTTTAGTAGCACATGAATATAAGTCATTATAACATATAAGACAAGAATATAAGTAAATTAAGAACTCCAATAAGGCAACATCGTTAGTCTTCAGGGAAATGTAAATTTAAACCACAATGAGAAACACCTACATATACCCCCCAGAAGAGGTAAAAATTTTTAAAAGGCTGGCTGTTCCAAGTGCTGACAAGGTGGAAAAGCAACGGGAACTCTCCTAGTTCCCTGGTGGGAGTGTAAGATGGCACAACCACATTAGAGAACTGTTGGGAAGTTTCTTATAAAGTTAAACATAGGGCGCCTGGGTGGCTCAGTTGGTTAAGCGACTGCCTTCGGCTCAGGTCATGATCCTGGAGTCCCGGGATCGAGTCCCGCATCGGGCTCCCTGCTCAGCAGGGAGTCTGCTTCTCCCTCTGACCCTCCTCCCTCTCATGCTGTCTCTCATTCTCTCTGCCTCAAATAAATAAATAAAATCTTTAAAAAAATAAAAAATAAAAAATAAAAAAGTTAAACATACATCTATCCTCTAATCCAGAAACCCCACTCTTAGGTAAAGAAAGGAAACACAGGTCCACACAAAGATTTGTACATGAATGTTCATAACAGCCTTCGTTATCATTACCAAAACCCAGAAACAACCTAAATGTCCAACAGGTGATTGGAGAAATAAATTGGGGTATATTTATACAATAAAGCACTAGTTAATATAAATGAAGAAGGAACAAACTACTTGCACAAGCAACAACACAGAGGAGTCCCACCAACATTATGTTGAGTGAAAGGAGCTAGATCGAAATGAGCCATGCTGTATGATGCCGTTTATATGAAGTACAAGAACAGGCAAAACAACTTTTCTATGATGATAAAAGGCAACAGTGGGTGCTGCTCTGGAGAGTGGGGGTGGGGGAGGCCAAATAGGAACTGATTGGAAAGGAGACTAAGAGAGTTTTCTGAGGCAATGGAATGTTCTAGATCTTGACAGGGTTAAAGTTATACAGTGTATTCATTTGTCAAAACTCATTGAACTCAACTCTTAGGACTTGTGTGCCTTATTATATGTAAACTATACCTCAATAGAGCAAACAACTCCAATAAGACCATTTCAGATGATGATAAATGCTGGGAAGAAAATCAAACAAGATACTGTACTGCAGGGTTGGGGCAGAGCAAAGGGGTAGAAGTGGGGGAAGCGACCAGAGAAGGCCTCTCCAAGCACAGGGTAGGACCCCTGCAGATATTGTGTGCTTTCCAGGAGCTCATGTTAGGGGGATAGCCTTGCAGAACTCTGTAGCCTCTCTGAATACCTTTAGCATTAACAGTGTAGACCAGTGTTTCTCAAAGTGCAACGCCCAGCATCAGCATCACGTGTTGGGAACGTGTTAGAAATGCACATTCGCAGGCTCTGCCCTGGACCTACTGAATCAGACACCCTGGGGATTGTCTTCATAAGCCCTCTAGGTGAGAGCCTCTCAGGTGTGAGAACCACCAATCTAGAACTTCCATACTCAAAGTGTAGTCCTGGAACCAGCAGCCTGGTCTCACCTGGGAGCTTGTTATAATGCAGAATCTCAGGCCCCACTCGATGAACTGAATCAAAATCTGCACTGTAACAAGATTCCCAGAAGATTCATGTGCACATTGAAGTTTGAGTAGTTTAGACTAGATCATCTAGCACCCCAAACATACTTTCTTAGTCAGCCTTCAGCTGACTACATGTTGTCTCTACAACCAGGTTGCCGGTTTCCTGGAGGAGTGAATAAAACAAGGCGTCTACTTAATCTGTACATGCAAGTGTAGGCAAAAGTGCACATGTGCGTGCACACATACACATTCACTGCTTCCTAACACTTCTGCTCGCATTCCTACTGACTTCTGGAGGCGATCTGCTCAAGCAAATGGGTCTCTTTACATTTTACCCAAAGCAGCATCATAAACTGGCAGGCCGCCTTCGACTGTGTCTTTATTTTTGTTTACTTGTCTTTTGCCTATACAATGTTTTGAAAGTTGAGACATTCTACATAAAAATCTGGACTTCTTACTTTTCTCGAAAAATTTAACTATTTGGGGAAAAAAAAAACCAACTAAACCATTTGACAACTCAGGGTTCATATCCCACACAGCACCACTCTGCTGGAGGTGTCAGTGGTTCCCTTTATGAAAGGTATGTGGGTTTGTTTGTTTGCTACAGTCCCCACCACTCCCTATTGCCTTATACCTGGCCTGCATCACTCATTTCTGTCACCTGCCTGGCCCATGTTGGCATTTGAGTTTGAGACCCTTGACTAAAGGCCAGCTGAGATCAAGACGTAAGATGCTTTTCACCTCCTCTGGGTCAGTGGGGTTTCATCCAGGGCCCTGAAAGCAGCTCCTAGTTGAGGTAACATTTTGATATCCCCTGATGCTCTATTGAACAGACTTATGGCCATTAGCAAGAAGAGACAATTGGATCAGTGGTCCCCTAACTGCCTTTGCAGCCTGGTTTTTTGTTTTTTGTTTTTTGTTTTTAAGCGGTCTGCAGAAGTATGCAGGGCAATGTCCCAAACAGATGTTAGCAAATGTCCTTTGAGTCGCTGAAGTAAGCCTAAGAACACTGGCTCCTGGAGAGATCTGAGCTTTCTGAAGAACTGAGGTGGTTATGATATTAATATTCTTTTAGAACAACATGTTAGAGCATTTGTTGTCTGGGATGAGCACCAGAAGAAATCTTTGGCCAGAAATAAATTGTCAAGTTCTGATGGATAACTGAACAGGTTATTTTCAAACAGCCACACACACACACACAAAGAAGGGAATTACAGGTTATATGAGTTTTATGAAAAAATAGAACTTCCTAAAACATAGGAAGTTGAAGAAGCTGATCATGTTACAGAGTTTTGTCCTTTACCAAAGATCCACGACAAAAGGTCCGTATTCGGTAAACATGGGATTCCGTTTATTTACAGCACGTATAAAGCAGGGCAGGCCCACACTGCATGCCTGATGCACTTCTCTGGTTCAGAGTGGGCCTATGCCTGTGTCAGTTTCCTGTGCCTGCTGTAACAAATGACCATGAACTTGGTGGGCGCCTGGGTGGCTCAGTTGGTTAAGCGACTGCCTTCGGCTCAGGTCATGATCCTGGAGTCCCGGGATCGAGTCCCACATTGGGCTCCCTGCTCAGCGGGGGGTCTGCTTCTCCCTCTGACCCTCTTCCCTCTCTTGCTCTCTGTCTCTCATTCTCTCTCTCAAATAAATAAATAAAATCTTAAAAAAAAAAAAAAAAAACCAACAGAAGTGTATTCTCTCACAATTCTAGAGGCCAGAAGTCTAAAATCAAGGAGTCGGCAGGGACACACTCTCTGAAGTCTCTAGGGGAGGATCCTTCCTTGCCTCTCCCAGCTTCCCGTGGCTCCCTGTGTTCCTTGACTTGAAGCTGCATCACTTCAATGTCTGCCTCCATCTTTATGTGGGCTTCTCTTCTGTGTTTCTGTTTCAACTCTCTTCTCCTTTCTCTCATAAAGACACAAGTCACTGGATCCACCCTAAATCCAGGATGATCTCATCTTGAGATCCTTCATCTCATCTGCAAAGACCCTATTCCAAATAAGGTCACATTCACAGGCACAGGGGTTAGGCACTTGGACCTACCTTCTTGGGGGGTGGGGAGGGGCATTATTCAAACCGTTACAGTGTGCAAAAAAACCATTCTGCTCAGGGCCTAGTGTTTCTCAGAGTGTAGACCACTAGCCACGCACACCAGATCCACGTGGCACCTTTCCAGAAACATCTCAGACCTTCTGAAACCACCTTCTGGGGGGTGAGGCCCAGGAATCTACCTTTGAACACACTTCCCAAGTGATTCTTATCCTTAGTTCAAGAACCACTGTCCCAAGACCCTTTGCTTTGTGTATTAAAAAATAAATCACTCAGTAGAGCAGCACAAGAAAGAACTGTCATGGAATGAGAACAATCAGAAGCAAAGAAATCAAAACCCCTCTGGCCAGAAATAGGTGTTGAAGTACCTAAGAATATCTAACTAATCTCAACATCGCATTTTGAGAGTTAAAAAAAATAGGAGTTTCAAATACTCCACACTGGATTCTGGCAGAGCATCTATCTTCTGTTTTCTTCTCTCTCCACACCTGTAAATAGATTGTGAATTAGTAACTCAGAAAGAAAATATCTTACCTAAAAACAACCTCCAAAAGGTGGTTCACGGGGAGGGACAGATTGAAAAATTTTGCGAGGTGTGTGGTTTAAGCCTTCCTAATTATCCATGAAAACAAAACATTCTGCTTTTCCTGACTGTAACACTGGTGAGAGCTGCATATTTGGGGCAATTATGATTTGTGCCCGAGTCTTAATTTATAAAGGTGGGTGAGTACTGACATGGAGAGGTCACTGATACTGAAAGGACTTTATTACTTACATTTCCCAAGAGGAAGGGCACACCATGCCACACAGGGCCACAGGGGAAGCACTGGGTTTGGTCAGGAGATGGAAGGATCAAGGGGAAAGCATGGCCCAGAACCTTCATCGTATTTTCCATGGGACAGGCAAGGCAGGGCAGGGCAACAGCCTAGGATTGGCCTGCTTGAGTAATGTGGGCAAGCTCTGGGTTACAGGTGCATTCTCTAGCTGTGGGTATCTGGACCTGGGTGACTTTGGCCCTGGGTGACCTGGCGCAGGGGGAATATTGGCTCGTGTGTTAGGGTGAGTGAGAGGGGGTGGTTGGGGATATGGATTCAAGATTGGTCAGAGGGTCTGTAACATGATTTTCAGGCACTCGCAAAAGCTGGATCACAGGGAAGATGTAAACAATGGTGGCTGTTGGTTTGGCCCTGTGATAACAGATGCAAATAGACAAATACAGAATCTAAGAAAATGCAATTAGAACAGATTGCTTGAGGGGCACCTAGCCCCAATCCAGCCATTAGTATCTAGGATCCCCACCCCACTTTGTTCTAGAAGCCAAACTCCCTTAAGAAATAATCAGATTTGCTTGAAACTATTTTTGTTAATAGTTTTTGTTGTTAATACTGTATTAGTTAAAAAGTGTTCACTTTAGGGACGCCTGGGTGGCTCAGTTGGTTAAGCGACTGCCTTCGGCTCAGGTCATGATCCTGGAGTCCCGGGATCGAGTCCCGCATCGGGCTCCCTGCTCGGCAGGGGGTCTGCTTCTCCCTCTGACCCTCCCCCCTCTCATGCTCTATCTCATTCTCTCTCTCAAATAAATAAATAAAAAGAAAAAAAAATCTTAAAAAAAAATTGTTCACTTTAATCTTAAATGGAAAGCAGATTTTGTATCACTCTGTGATGGTAGAAGAAGAGGAGGCAATGTGGGAAGTGGTGCTTTGGTTCCAAGAGAGTAATTTGTGGGTTTGGATTATGTTCTTCCCTCTGCCAACTGCAGCAGAGCTAGAAGATGAACAAGGAAGACTAGCTCAGCTCCTGTTTTGGGTTTTCCTTTCATGAACTACCAGCACGTTCATACAGATCTTTATAAACATGGATCCTTCTCCTCCTACAGATACGCCAAGTACTATAAGGAAAACAACGTTGAAAAACGGACTCTGATAAAAGTCTTTGGGATCCGTTTTGACATTCTGGTTTTTGGCACCGTAAGTCTCTGCTCCCAGCCATTGGCACCTCCATTCCTGTGACTGTGTCCTAATTATTGCTGTAGTGCCTCAAGGGGTGAATGTTTCGGTCATAGTCAATAGCTGGCACTGTGCATCTTGCATGTGGGATAAGAGGGGGAAGGAATGTCCTTGGGGTCCTGTCCACGATGAAGTCATCTGATCACTACAAGAGTAGGATTGGGAAGAAAACTGAATATTCAACTTTAAAAATATTCTGATGCTTAAAAAGAGAGAGGGAAAGAAAGAAATCCTTTTTGCAAAATACTCTGTAAGTAACAGAAGCCAACTCAAATTGGCTTAGGGAAAAAAAAATTTTTTTTTTTAAATCTCACATAGCTGAAAAATCCAGGGGCAGTTTTCAGGCTTCAGGCATGGCTGGATCCAGATGTTCAAACAACATCCTTAGGAATCTGCCTCCCTCCATTTCTTGTATCTGTTCTCTTCTGTTTTGGCATCATCCTCAGTTGGCCATGTCTACATGGTGGTTTCTGGCAGCTCCTTATATCTTACCGGTCCAGCAGTCTCAATAAAAAGAGAATATCTCTTTGCTAAAAGGTTCAGCAAAGGATTCAGGCAGATGCCTTTGGCTCTGACTGGCCCAATATGGGCCACGTGCCCTGTGCTGAACTGATCATTATGTTTAGGTCACACCATACTCTCAGTGGCTGGTCTTGGACCTGCCCTGAACCAGCCCCTTCCTCTCAAACTATATGGACCAAGTATGGACAGAGATGGTTCTCCAAAGGAAAACTGGGGTGTTGTCTCCATAAGAAGGAGGGAGGGGATACTGGGCATGCAAAACTCCATAGATGCCCACAACGCCTTGTCCAAAACTGTATTATTTATGTTATATGTTATGTCATATGGTGGTAAGCAACACAAGAGTCAATGGGATAGAAGCTGAGAGAATGGAAAGATCATTGAGAAGAAAAACCACGAGGACACCTAAGGGAAGAGTGTGCAGACATTCCTTCCCTCTGCTTCCAAGGTAATCTCAAACCACTTTTAGGGAAAACTTGTCTGAAGCTCTCACCTTGTATGGAAAAACAACAAACTCAGTGTGTGGGTTCCAGTGCTTCTTTGTTTAAAACAGTCATGTTTTCGAGCGCATCCCAGAAGGCAAGAACAGGATGAACAGGAATCCTATTTTCAGTCTGCAGTCTCTGTTGCCATGAACATAGACTCCCTCCTCTGCTGGAGCTGACAATTACATGGTAGAGCAAAAGAGCATTGCTCTGAATGTCAACCAAGTCACCTTCCCATTTGTTTTCAGGGAGGAAAATTTAACATTATCCAGTTGGCCGTGTACGTTGGCTCAGTCATCTCCTACTTTAGTTTGGTAAGGGATTCTCTTTTCCATACTTTAGGAAAGTGATTTGGCAAAAAGAAATCTCACTAACATGGCACCGATCTGGGTTTTCCCCAGGCCACTCTGTTCATCGACTGCCTCATCAACACTTACTCAAGTAAATGCTGTCGATCCCGCATTTATCCCTGTTGCAAGTGGTGTGGATACTGTGCAGTCAATGAATACTACTACAGGAAGAAGTATAAGCCCATTGTGGAGCCAAAGCCGGTAAGGCTCACCGCATCAGTAGGTGCCAAAATACCCAGAGAGTCGGTCAGGTCACTGAGAAACATGCAAAAATAAGGCGCAAATCACAGGTGTAATCCCATAGTGGACAAGTCTCTGGACTCTACCCTGATCCACCATCTCTCAGATGAATCCTTTGGTCTTAGGGAAGAACAGAAACAAAAACGAAGAGGCAAGATAGAGGGAGAACAAATGTTTATGTTCTAGGACTTGGCAGTTTTGTTAGATTTATTAAATTGGTACAGCCAAAAAAAATAGTATAGTGACTTTGGAGAACAATTTGGCAGTATCTAATAACATTTAGATGGGACATACTTCACAGCCTGGCATTTCCACTTCTCCATACCTACCCTCAAGAAAGAGCATCTACCCAAATGTCCAACAGGTGGATGGTGAAAGAAACTATGACCAGTCCATAGCAAAGAGCACCAGGCACCAGTTTAAAAGAATACGTGGATAATAATAAGAGCAAACATTTCTATAGAACTTCAAAGTGCTTTATATATATTAATTCATAGAATCTTCACACAACCCTATAAATAGGTGCTACTGTCATCTTTCTAAAGATGAGGAAATTGAGGTGCAGGAGGGTTAAATAATTTGCCAAAAGTCATACAGCTAGTAGCGGGGGAGCTGGAATTCCAACTCAGGCAGGCTGGTTTCAGAATTCATCTTCATAACCACTATGTTATAGGTACTGGCATGAGCAAATATCCAAAACATGTTGTTGAAAGGAAAAAAAAAAAACTATAGGACAATATATACGGTATGATATATACCATGATATGATAAAAGACAACTACACATATGATATGAACTCATCCCATGTATTTTCTACATGTATATTATACATGTGCTTATATATAATCATACAAATAACATGCATACATTCTATATATTTTATATATGCTCTATATAGTTTCTACATTTATTATACACATGCATGAAGGTGTATAGGGAGGATAATATATGTATACAAAAAGGTACACACAAAAGTGACAACAGTGATTCCTTCTACAAAGGAACCTAGGATGGGGGACGAGTCAAACGGAATTTGAGCTCATCTGTATTGTTTTGATTTGTTTAATTAGGCTTCTACTAAGCAGGTCCCCTACACTTGATTCCATGATTTCTCCCAATCAAGGAGAAACCTCCAGTACTTCAAACAACAAAGAGGGTCTTTGTCTTTCCCTCATAAGAACATTACTGTCCTTTCCCAGCAGCTGAAGACACGATTCACGGGCCGCTGTACATGTATTATACAATTTGAAATGAAAGTTCATTTTTGCAACTAAAAATAATTACCATTTCATAGCTCAAGATAGGATGAAAGTCAGCAAAAATATAAATAATTTAAGTTGCAACAGTAAAATTTTAGGGATATTCAATCTAGAGTAACTGAAATTGAGGGAACACAAAAGGACTTTTACAGAGCACGTGGGAGACCTAAAGTCATCAGGCAGTAAGCTGTGGAGACTCTGAAGTCCACATATTAAGGTGCACAGGGTCTCACTGCTGATTTACCTTTGGACTCAGAAATCATTCATTCTTGGCTAGCAAGAGTTTTTGGTCAGCTTCTAACAGTTTGTCATTTGGTAAATAGGAATAACACTTGCCTTTAGATATGTTCAGGATGTGATTGTTGATAATTCTGTACAAAAATGGGTAAAATTTTTAACCCTCTTTTCCTAGACATTAAAATACGTGTCCTTTGTGGATGAATCCCATATTAGGATGGTGGACCAGCAGCTACTCGGAAAAAGTCTGCAAAATGTCGAAGGTGAAAAACTCCCAGTAAGTTAAAACATTTAGTCTTTTTTTTTTTTTTTTAAAGAAAAGTTACTATTAAATAAAAATATAGCAGGGCACCTGGGTGGCTCAGTCAGTTAAGCATCTGCCTTTGGCTCAGGTCATGATCCCAGGGTCCTGAGATCAAGCCCAATATAGAGCCCCCACATGGGGCTCCCTGCTCAGCGGGGAGCCTGCTTCTCCCTCTCCCCCTGCTCCTTAGCCCGCTCATGCGCTCTCTCTCTCTCTCTCTCTCAGATGAATAAATAAAATCTTTACAATAAATAAATAAAAATATAGCTATAAATTTGTGGAAATCGCAATTGATGAATTTTAACACAGTAAGTACATGTAACTCAGAATATTAGCAGAAGCCCTTTTCACGCCTCCACCCAATCACTACCTTCCCTTAAACGTCATCGTTATTCTGTACCCAAAGGTTAGTTTTATCTCTTCCAGGATTTTATAAAATTTGAATCCTGTATGTACTCAGTATATACTCTGTGGAGTGTCAGACTTCTTTCACTCAGTATGTTTTTGCGAGTCATCCATGACATGGCATAGAGCAATAGTTCATTCTCGTTGTATAATTTCCATTTTACAAACAACCAATTTATTTATCCCTTCTATTGTTGGTGGACATTTGGGTAGTTTCCACTTTGGAGCTCATGCAGAAATGCTGCCATGGTAAACATGTGGTGCCTACAAGTGGACCTGCTGGGTCAGAAGGCTGGCATATGATACTATCAAACCATTCTCTAAAGGGGGTGTTCTAATTCCTGCTCTCCTCAGCAGCTCTAACCACTGGACATCTTCACTAACTGACTTCTACAGCTGCCATAATAAATCACCACAAACTAAGTAGCCGAAAACAACAAAAATTCATTCTCTCACAATTCTGGAGGCTGGCAGTCTGAAATCAAGGTGTTGGTAGGGCTTCTGAAGGCCCTAAGGGAGGATCCTTCTTTGCCTCTTCCAGCTCCTGGTGTTCATTACACCTGCTAGGACCCCTGGTACAACACTGATTAGAAGTGGTTAATAGCAAACATCTTTTTGTCTCATTCCCTATCTCAGGAAGAAAGCTTTTCATATTTCACTATAGTATTTGCTGTAGGGCTTTAAAGAATGCTTTACTGGATTAAGAAAAGTCTCCTCCGTTCTTAGTTTGCTAAGAATTTTTATCATAAATTAATACTGAATTTTTAAAATAATGCTTTTTTCTGCTTTTTAAAAAATGTTCAATGAATTTTCTTTTTTCTGTTATGTGGTGAATTACAGAAATTGATTTTCAAATGATAAGCCAAACTTGCATTCCTACAATAAAATCAATTTGAAGGTAATAAATTACTCTTTGTATTTATCGCTGGATTCGATTCACTAATATTTAAGATTTTTATGTCTCTTATTGAGAGACACTGGCCAAAGTTTTTCCATTCTTGTAATGTCCTTATCGGGTTTGGGTATAACATGAGCTGAGGGATGGGGAGGGGAATACACATAAAATTTACCATTTTAACCACTGTAAAGTGTACAATTCAGTGACATTTAAAATTCAAAATCTCATCCACAATGCTGTGCCACCATCACACTATCTAGTTCCAGAACTTTTTCATCAACCCAAAAGGAAACCCTGCATCCATTCAGCAGCCACTCCTCACACCCACTTCCCCCTAGTCCCTGGAAACCATTTTTTTTTTTTTTTTTTTTGAGAGAGAGTGAGAGAATGAGCAGGGAGAGCAGCAGAGGGAGAGGGAGAAGCAGGCTTCCCACGGAACAGGGAGCCCGATGCGGAGCTCGATCCCAAGACCCTGGGATCATGACCTGAGCCGAAGGCAGACACTTAACGACTGAGCCACCCAGGCGCCCCTGGACATAACATTTTTATCCATTCATCCGTTGATGGATATTTGGGTTGTTTTTACCCTTTGGCTATTGTTAATAGTGCTGCTGTAAGTGCTCATGTATAGGAAGTATTTAATTTTAATGTACTCACTCAAACTTTGTCTGGTGAATGAAGGTATATGTTACAAAGAACAGATATAAATGATGTCAATTATGGCAACTCCTCTTGGAGGATAACAAATGAATTTACTGGAAGAGGGAGGCTGGTGGAAAAGGAGAGAGTAGAGCAAAATCAACAAAGATTTACTGTCTACTATGTGCTGGGTACTATCCTAGGCATTGGGGATACAGCAGTAACAAAGCAGACAGGGCCCCCCCGCACTTTCATGTGGAAGAAGAACCATCCAGAGGACATATTAATGAATAGGATCACTTCAGATAGTGATAGTACTCTGAAGAACACGGCATCTCATGATGCACTAAGAGAGTGACCTGGGTGGGGGTGGAACTACCTAGATGGGGTGGGGGGAAGGATCAGGGCAAGAAGGTCTCCATGAACAGGAGATACCTGCCTTGAGGCCTGGTTTATCTGAATTTCACTTCCTAAATCTATGAAGTGGAGAGAAGGACACATACCTCATGAGGTTCTTCAAAGGCTAAACGGGGCAAGTTTATAAAACACTGGGATAGTCTTGATATATACATTTAATAAATGATAGCTACTGGTATTAATGTGATAGTAAGTGTAATTTTATAAGTTAATGACAGAAATAAAGGACCTAGAACCCTAGGGGTTGTCACTGCTGATGGGTTTGGTAACTTGACTTTTTCAGAGACCCTCAATGGACTTGTCCAGGCTGCCCCCATCTCTCCGTGACCCATCCCCTATTCCTGGACAAGCAGAGGAGATCCAGCTGTTAAGTGACGAAGCGGCTCCCAGATCCAGCAACAGCCCAGACTGGTGCCAGTGTGGACACTGCCTCCCGTCCCAGCTCCCCGAGAGCCACAGATGCCTGGAAGAACTGTGCTGTCGGAAAAAGGCGGGTGCCTGCATCACCACCTCAGAGCCCTTCAGGAAGCTCGTCTTGTCCCGACAGCTCCTGCAGTTCCTCCTGCTCTACCAGGAGCCCTTGCTGGAGCTGGATGAAAACTCTAACAGCCGGCTGCGGCACTGTGCCTACAGGTGCTACGCCACCTGGCGCTTCGGCTCCCAGGACCTCGCCGACTTTGCCATCCTGCCCAGCTGCTGCCGCTGGAGGATCCGGAGAGAGTTTCCCAAGAGTGAAGGCCGGTACACCGGCTTCCAGAGTCCTTACTGATGGCACAGGGCTGAGCAGGCGTGTTAACGTTTCCTTTGTTTGCACCCTGAGCTTGACCTGCAAAGATCTGCGGCCAAATGTTCAACCAAAGGGAAATGTGTTTTCTGCTCCTGCAGCTCTAGATATGTCAGAGAGCAGACTGAACAAACAAACAAATAAACCAGAATCCCTCAGCATGGACTGAGAGTCGAGAGATTCAGATCTGTGTCTCAGTTCTGTCCCTAGGAAGTTGTGTGATCCTAGGCTTTTAACTCTGTGCCTCAGTTGCCTTCCTACCCCAACTGTGATCCCACAGAGATGTCGGGAGGACAAACTGAGTGAGCGTACACGAACTTCCTTGTTAATGCACAAAGAGCTACATGAATGCAAAGCAGCTCCTTATGAGGCCAGACTGGGATAAGGTACAACTATGAACAAACCCTTTGGGTGCTGGCTGGAGGCTGTGGAGGATTAATGGTGGCCACAAATTCCTGGGCACCTGACCCTCAGGACCTAAGGGTTATGTCTCCTCCTCTTGCATGTGGGCAGCTCTGATCGCTTTATCCAACAGTGGAAGTGACGCTGTGCCGGCTTCGGGGTCTTGGTCTTGAGGCTGGCAGCTTCCGCTTCCGGTCCTGCCCACGTCTGCTGTGAAGGAAGCTTGCCCCATACCAAAGTCTGACTCTCCTCAGACCACCCTACTGTGAGGAAGCTCCAGAAGCCACATGGAGAACAGAGATGCCTGACCAGTTCCCAGCTTCCAAGCCATCCAAACGTAGTCACTGGACATGGAAAAGAAGCCTTCAGATGATTCCACGCCCTGCTACCATCGGACTGCCACTGTGTGAGACGCCTCCCAGGTTACCCACAGAACAAAACTGTTGGTTTAAGCCACTAAGTTTCAGGTTGTTCGTTATGCAGCAACAGATGACCGGGACAGAGAGCAAGCGTGACTCACTGGAACACAGACTCAGCCATACCTTCTGCGGTTCTAGGGTTCTTAGGGAGCCTGGACCACCCCTGAAGCCCCACCAGGGCTTAGGTCTCTGTTCGGCAGTCCTGTCAGGGCTGCGGACCAAATGAGGTAACCCACCAGACCAGCCCTGGAATCCATCCAATCTAACTGCTGAACTACCCGATACATTTTAACACACAGCCTATTACTATGACTGGAAGTAGCTACTGCTGTTAAAATGGAAAAAGGCCACCTTTATGCCTTTAACATCCTGTACTTTGCAGCCAATTAGAATGGACGCAGTCTGGATGCTACTTAAAAAGCAACTCACACCCAAACTTTTACCACTTCTGTACATCGACCACTAAGAATATGAAAATGGATAGTCAGGTTTTAGGATCCTCCTTCAGGATTTCCTTTTCATGGTTTTGGTATTAGAATTGATTATTTCTAAACAACTCTTTTAAAGAATAAATAGAGACCACTATTCAACACAATAACTGATGAAGGATGTATGAGTTTCCTTAATACATATTCTAATGTGCCATTTTGATACTTTTTAAAAACCAGATGCTTTCTACTGTATTCATGTAAAGTAAATATGAGCAAAACACTTCTTTTTTTGACCCAGGATTTTATCTGGCTTTAAACTCAGGAATAAACTAGGCCAGACTGAACTTTCATTTTTTTTTTTTTACTATCTTTCAGAGATAGTAGATTATATATGACTTCTTATATGTATGATATATATATTTAAGAGTGCATTATATATGACTTCTTCAGAATTTAAATTTTTACTCTTAGAATTCTATGTACAAGCTACAGATTTCCATTCTGATAAACCTCTGAAACTTTATACCTTTATTTTATTTTATTTTGGGGTGCCTATCCCTAGTGTGTTTCTATCACCTCTAGAGGCCCCAAATGGAGTCAGAATTTGGAATGACAATTAGTCACTGGATCCACCTACTATCCTCCTTCACCTTCCCCACAGATGCTTTAGGTGAGAGGGTGATGTGTTATGTCAATGGTGTGTAAAATGTCTGACACTTCGTACAGTAACATGCATCGTATTTGTATCTTGTTTTTAGTCTACTGCATAAAATGTCCTCAGCTTGTGCAAGACTGTTGAATCTCAGATCTGTACCTCTGAAACAAATAATGCAATATATGTTAAGAAAAAAAAAAAGAAGAAGAAGAAGAAGAAGGTAGCAGGAGGGGAAGAATGAAGGGGGGGAAATCGGAGGGGTAGACGAACCATGAGAGACGATGGACTCTGAAAAACAAACTGAGGGTTCTAGAGGGGAGGGGGGTGGGAGGATGGGTTAGCCTGGTGGTGGGTATTGAGGAGGGCACATACTGCATGGAGCACTGGGTGTTATGCACAAACAATGAATCATGGAACACTACATCTAAAACCAATGATGTAATGTATGGGGATTAACATAAGAATAAAAAAAATAATAATAATGTCCTCAGCAAAGGCATCCCAAGGAGAATCACACTTTGTAGGACCTATTTTCTTATACTTAAATCCATTATTCTATATGGTAATTGCCCAGTATTCACTACTTCATGTCTTTCTAGTAACATTAGCTGGTTTCATGTAGAATTGGTAAAGAACTTGCATTTCTCTCTTCAGAGGGCACCAGTTTTTAAACACTTCCTAATTCTAGTTTGGCAATGTACATGTCTTAACTAGGTAATATGTTTTGATAAGAAAATATCAATGTTTTTATTATAAAAAATAATGTATAATTTGATTACTGAAGTGTTCCTTTTACTTCCTTTTCTCAGGAGATCCCCAAATCACAATTCATTCATTGACACTTTCATTCAACATATATTCATTGAGGAACTATGACATAATAAGACATATATTCGGTCTCTACTCCCAATTCCTGACACAGAGCTCCTAAATCCCTTAGAATTTGCTGGGTGATAAGAGTGTGTTGTGTTCTAACGAGGCAACTCTTGGTGGGCTCCTAACTTCAGGATGGGGGCTGGTTGCCAGAAAGACCAAGCCATGATCAGAAGCTTAGAACTTTGAGCCCCACTCTCTCATCCTCCAGAATGGAGAAGGGTTGGAAACTGAGTTAACAACTGATTGTGCCCAAGTGATGAAGTCCCCCTAAAAATGTCTCAATTATGAGATGTGGAGAGCTTCTGAATTGATGAACACATCTACATGCTAGGAGAGTGCTGTACCCCAACTCCACAGGGACAAGCATCTGTGCTCAGGACCCTTTTGGACCTTGCCCTATGTACCTCTTCATCTGGTTCTTCGTCTGTATCATTATATCCTTCATAATAAACCAGTAAATACAAACAAAGGTTTCCCTGAGTTGTATGAACCATTTGGGCAAATGACTGAGCCTGAGAAGGGGGCTATGGGAACCCCCATTTCTTAGCCAGTTGGTCTGAAGTACAGGCGACACCCTGGGACTTGCAACTGGCACCTGAAGTGGAGGACAATCTTGTGGGGTTGAGGCCTCAACCTATGGGGTCTAGGCTAACACCAGGAGTTAATGATGCAATTGAATTGTAGGACACTCAGTTGGTGTCTGGAGAGTTGGAAAACTGGTTGGTGTGGGAAAACTCCACAAACATTTGGTCCCAGAAGTATTACAGTAGAGAATAGGAACGCGAGTTTTCTCTTAGGCATTCACTAGAGACCAATGATAGATAAGGTTGCTGCTGTCATGGAGATGTGAGGAGATGGACATTAATCAAATAATTCAAATGTAAATTTGCATTTTGTGAAGAGGATCATGATGAAGAAGAAAAAGGATTCTCTGAGAACCTAAAATAGGGGAATTTGACCATTTTGGGGAGATCAGAGAGGTCCTCCTTGAGGATGCAGCCCTTTAGCTAAAACCTGAAGGTTAAGTCCTAGCTAACTAGGTGAATAGGGTAGGGAAGAGCATTCTAGGCAGAAAGATGAGCATGTGCGAAGGCCCCGGGGCAGAAAATGCATAGCAGGTTTACGGAACTTAAAGGAGACCTGGATGCCTACTGCATAGATAGTAAGGGGGAAGTAAAGCATGAGATAAGACTGGACAGGCAGGCAGGGGCTGGACTTTATGGAGCCTTGCGGGCCATGGCAAGGAGTTTGTCCTTATCCTAAGACCAATGGACAGCCATGGAAGTGTTTTAAGTAGCAGCCTGGTAAGATTATATTTGGTTTTTAAAAGATCGTTCTGATCACTGCATGGAGAATGAATGAGGAGTGGTGGTAAACAGTTTTAATTTTATTTCAGTCTTTCCCTACTCCATGAAACATTTGTCCCAAATATGCAGTGAAATGAACTGATTCTCTTTTCTCTCCTCCTCTTCATCTTGGGAAGTCACAGAAAGATCAGCCGCAGGAGAAAGGAAAAGCTTTAGGGTGCCTTGATTTTTAGAGTTATTTCCTGTCCCAAGTTGGTGGAGATGAGACCACTTAATGGTCTCACCAGGTCAGGGGTAGGAACGTGCCAAATCTAGAGACAAAGGGCAGTCAGCAAAGCTGCTGATGTATCTCACCCTATAGTGTACGGCCTAAAACTCAGGTCTAATATCACAGGCTGGTTGACATCTGTTGAAATCAGGAGGGTCTAGAACAGCTTAACTGCAAGTTTCTCTCCCCAACCTACTCCCATGGAAAAGGTCACCTGGACAAGTACCTTCTTTAGCGAATGGAGCAGAGGCACTTACTGCTGACCCCTGAGTAATGGGTTTAAGTTCTCTGCCACCCATGGAATTATCCAAAAGACAATGATGTCCTCCTGTGGGAACCACAGGGCGCCTCACCTTCTTGATACCGCAAAGCACGCCTGCCTCCCACCTGAGCCGAAATCCTACCACCTCTGGTTGTTCACTCTGCCCCGGAACTATGATTATGTGACTAATAAACTGCTGCCAATTTCACTTGTCTAGTGTTGGGTGTCATGCATTTGGCCATCTCCATGACTTTAGGGTGGAAATCCTTCCCTCACAATGGGGTGAAGAGGAGGTGATTAAAGCACTCCTAATTCCAGGCCAACCAGCCACCCTGAAAAATTAAGAGGTTTGGCTTGGCTTCTGCACAGTCATTGTCTACACAAAGCCCTGCCTCCTAGACAGAACCCATGAGAAACTGGGATCACCACCCCCTTTTATTCAAATTAGTCAATGGGTGCACTGGATGTGGTTTCACTTCCTGCTGCTTATATACTTCTTAACACATATTCTAATCCCATGCAGTCATCATTCTGGGAATCCCAAATGTCCCCTGACTCACTCCTTTGCTGTCTTTTGAAGAGATCTAGACATCACTATTTTCTTTGGCTTTTACTGTGATCTTTCAGTTTCCTCTTTTCTAGTCGGGTTATAAGGGGTTATAAATTATGTTTCCAAAATAAATGATGATCCATGGAGAGGATTTTGCATTCCTAACATCCTTAGTTCCTCTTAATTGTCAAGGTCGCATGAGACTGAATCTTCTGGAATCAGCGGAGGAGGTACCCAATACTGACTGGCCATTTTAACGAAATAATTGCCACACTTGAGGCTTGGATGAGTGCTTAATGTAAGCCTGTTGAGTATAGTAAGTTATGAGTTATATTTTATTTCCCCAAGCAAAAAATAAGCTCCTCAAAGGCAAAGGACTCATCTTGGTTTGGGGTCCATTACGTGCCTATTCCAGCATGGTGGTGCAGTGAGAAAGAGACTCTGGAAATTGACCACCTAGAGTCAAATCCTGAGTCACTAATTAGCTAAGTGGCCTCAGGCAGCTTATCTAATGCTTAGAATCCTCAGTTGCATCTGTGTGTCTAAGCGTTGTTTTAAGTCTTAATTGCTGTAAGTGTAAATGCATGTAGAGTACTTGGCTCACTGCCTGTTACAGAGTAAGCACTCAATAAATGTTAGCTAATTGGGGGTGCCTGGGTGGCACAGTTGGTTAAGTGTCCAACTCTTGATTTCAGCTCAGGTCATGATCTCAGGGGCATGAGATTGAGCCACAGGTCGGGCTCCAGGCTCAGCTCGGAGTCTGCTTAAGATTCTCTCTTGGGGCGCCTGGGTGGCTTAGTTGGTTAAGCGCCTGCCTTTGGCTCAGGCGTGGATCTCAGGGTCCTGGGATCGAGCCCCCCATCAGACTCCCTGTTTAGCAGGGAGTCTGCTTCTCTCTCTGCCCCTCCCCCCGCTTGTGTCTGTGCTCTCTCTCCCTCAAATAAATAAAATCTTTTTAAAATTAAAAAAAAGATTCTCTCCCTCTCCCTCTGTCCCACTTGTGCTCTAAAATAAATAAATCTTTTTAAAAATGTTAGCTATTGTTATTCTTTAAAGTTTTAACCATATGTCTAACTATGCTAGCTATTACTGTTATTTGGATGGTGCCTCAGTATCACTCCTAGACTCCAGGCCCATATATTTAACCACCTCTAAATAGTCCATTTAAATAGTTTAGAGGCAAATCAAATGAGCACAAAGGAGAAATCACTCCCTCTGCTCTACCTCACCCACAGGTGCTCCTCCAGAAATCCCAAGCTCAGTTAGTAGTATTCCCATCAGCTCAATCTCCCAAACCAGAAATCCAAGTGACAGTCTCCACGTCCCTGTCCCCCTTCTCTGCCCCCATTCCATCTAATTTCATTAATTCACTCAGCAAACATTTACTGAGCATCCTGGCACTGTGCAGGTCCTAGGGATAAATAAGTGAACAAGCCAGGCTCTCCAAGAGGTTAGGTGCAGTGGGGAAAATGGGCAAGCAATGTATAAAGAAATGAGATGAGAACAGCTTGGGGTAAAGGGTATAAGAAAAACAAGCAGCATGCCATGACAGAAACAATGGGGTTACTTCTGATAGGGGTCAGGGATGGCCTCTCCGACGAGGTGGCATTTAAGCTAGATCCGAACGTCAGGAAGGAGCTGGCTGTGATGAGCTGGGGGAACAGAGGGACAGGAAGTGCAAACACTGAAGTGGGAAAACAAGTGAGCGTGTTCCAAGAACTGGCAGACGGCCAGTGTGATGGGGACATTTACAACACGGCCCTTGTCTTCTAAGTCTATCCAAGGAAGGACAAAGCCTTGTTTTCTTACTGCTTCGTGAACTGTGTGGGCCCATCTCATAACCAAAAGTGCAAAGAAAGGCAAAATCCGTATAG